GAGCCGTGCATGCAATATGAAAAATCATGACAGGTTCAGAGCTACAACCACTACTTTGGCTCTGTACAGCCTTATATCACCTTTAACAATGACACTCCATTGTGTCCCGGCTTTAATTTGGATCACCCATTGCAAATGGGCACAACAAGAAGAAATAGTGATGCTGATCCAACCCCTTTTTATACTGCCTTGTGAAGTCCTACTACCTCTTTGCAGCAAGGGAAAAATAAGCTAATAGCTATGGATCTATCAGCAGAGATTTGTCTCCATTTATGCCTTCCTCCCTGCATTTTCATAGCCTGTCTGCAGGCCGTCCTATGAGGCAAAGTTCCCCAGACTCAGTGGATTTCTCACAGAGCACCAAAGTGGTTAACCGTTAGGAACTTCTTAGTTTAAATTGGCATGAATCTGCCCCAAACATATGGGGGAAGGTCCAAAAATGCTGCTATCAACAAGGTCTAAACCTTAAAGTGAGAAAATATACACTTGGATATTTTTACTGGAAATTCTTTGTGGATACTACCCATTAGATTATTAATTTGCTGCAAAAGTCTAAGTTACATACTCTGCCTAAGTATTACCCTTAACAGACCAAAATAAGTCAATAGTAACAGTCAAAGTGTCTCAGATTCAGACATCCAACTATATATATCTTCACAGAAACATTCATTTTCCAAGCTCCTGAGAATAAAAGCCTCTAAGATTATTTGCAACATACACAAGATATGGTTCTCTAAAGTATCTCTTCTGTATACCTTCCAAGGTCATCATGTGTTTGGTCTAAGATATCACAGGTCAAATTTACATATTAAATGAACCTGACTGTAGGTATAGTATTCGCAGAGACCAAACAGCTTGCAAGAAGGAGATGTAAAAAATCTAAGGTTAAAGAAATCAGGTTTTAATGATCTTCTTAGAGCTTCTCACCAAAATACCTTTTCTCCTGATTTCTTTAGCAAGTTAGTCATTCCGCTCTGTATATTATGCGGTGCTTATCACACCTGCTCTCATGCTGTGTTTATTTTTCTTTGCTGGAATAATTTTTGGAATTCTTGGACTTCTATTATTAAGTCATCAACCCGCATCCTTCCCCCCTTTGCCTACGGCAGTGCTCCTTTATGGAGTATGATTGATTAGACTTCACTGTTAAGTACGTGGGCACATGCACAGTCATTTACTATTCTAAAGCATCTTTTAAGGTTGAACATGGTTTTTTTGCTCAAAAATCCATATCTACACATACCTTTTGGAGAAAACAGCATATTTTATTCACAATGATTGTTGAATTCTCTGTGGGCTGTCTCAACAGGATAGTAAGAAAGGCACTGAAGAAACCTTTCCTTGCAGAGAACTGGCACCAAGGACTTATAAAATCTGTGCAATAGATATCAAGTGCTGCTTAAAGGATTCTCGTTTCCAAAGCAATCTATCTTCAGAGGAATGTTCGCATCTTTAATATACAAACAGCAGAGGTAGGCAAAGCAGCGCCTTGTCAGTATTACATTAACCAAGGGCTGTGAAAAGATTGAGAAATACTGCCATATAAATAGTTAGCTGCCAACACTGTCCGGTTTCGGGGTAAAAAAATTCCTGCTTTCCCCAACACAGGGCCACATTCACAATCTGTCAGAACCAAGGGCATCAACCTCATTTCATGGTTACTGAATTAGATGAGAAACACCCTAATCTTTTTCAACACTAAAGTGCGGCCAGGGAAAGTACAACCCCCCCAGTAAGATGTCCTCTCCTCTCTGGAGCAGAAACCACTTGCTGCAGACAAAGAAGTCCATAAACAGCCTACTCATTTTTCAGTATAATACTTGTCACATGTGTTAATCGTTATGATCTTTTGCAGTCAGATAGCACTGCTCATCTGATGAGCTCAGTTTACAAATTTAGCTTGAATCCGGTCTGGCCTCTGCCTTGAAGTATTCTTTGATTTGAAAATTATGTTCAAACTTTGCCTAGAATTGCTTGTGTGTGCGTGTGCGTGCGTGTGCGTGTGCGTGTGCATGCATCTGTTTAAAAAAAGGGGAAGAGGTATTTTATTCCTTTTACTCATAAAGAGTAATAATTTCTCTGCGTATTCAAGCAGCTTTGAAAGCAGGGTACTGTTTCCAAAGCCGGGTCTATTCACCAAGTTCCTGAATTCTTCATAACTTGATATATTGGTATTCTACTACATCAAACAGGGAAAGCAATGCTTCTTTATCTAGCCAATATCCATATGGCAGTTGCTTTTCAGGTGTTAAGGAATCTCAGTAAAGTGCCAAAGAAAGGCAATATAATATTGTTAACCGAGGGCAAGGGATAATGAAGTGCAATTGTTAGAATATCTTTGCGGATCGTGAGGTCTCTTTCTAATATTGCAAACATAGATTTGATGTTCAGGAAAGACCTCTTTGTTCAACCTGTCAGCTTTTGCCGCGATGTGTGCAGCACCTTTCTTTTTCCCTAGAGTTGCCGGAGTTTCTCTCCAAATTCAATTTGTTGCTCTTGAAAATTCTTCATCAGAAGAATTTTCTGAGAAAAACGTATCCCTAATTGTGCTGCAGTCAGTATTTCTTTGCTGTCACATATCCATTGCACCATCCACAGGAGCCTGTTCTGAATGCCTTTTAATGTAGGCTTTCACTCTGTAATATATCCTTGTCTATTGCTTGTACTTACTTATTTTAAAAAAAAGAGATCTAAGGCTAAGAAAATACAAGCTGGCTAGTGGAAAAATACTGCACACCTGAATTTTTGTAGTCCTATGGAGCATGGAGTCCTCAAAGTCTTGTGAAGCAACAAAAAGTTCTCCCGTAGGTGCTCCCATGTCTTGCCTCAGTGGCCATTTTAAGCACCCAATGTCTGGTTTCATATTTTGAGTAAAACGTGGTGTTATTCAGCTTGAAGCACCTGGGGTCTAGGATTCTGAAAAAGCTAATAAAAAAGTTTTCCACACAGTTCTATTTTTGTATCACATCCAAAGCACCGCAAGCCAGAGCTGTTACTTCAAATGAACATTTTTCCGTGTCATGGAGACACAGGTGCATTGTAACAAAGCGTAGGAAATCCAAAGGACGAGCGAATCAAATAAATCACTAGAAGTCCTGATAGAAAGGCAGAGACAAAGAGACAGACCTAGAAAATGAAACTGTTACACTGTCCTTAAAGAACTGCAATTTACAGCAGTAAAAACAAAGCCCTTGCAAATAATGTAACTGAAAACTTCTCAGAGCTGAAATGTCAAATACTAACGCAGTTCGGCTAAATACCACCCCCCCCCCCCATAACCCATTTCTGTGACGTTAAAGAGTCAGAACACAGAAAATTACTGTCCAGGGAGCCAAGCACTGGGAGCGGAGGAGATGGAGATATGCCTGCAGAGATAAGGATTCAGCTGAGGGCCAGAATTAGCAGCCTGTTATGTTCCCCAGTCTGGTGAATTCGCACATGGAAGTGAGTCAGCACAAGAGCTGTTTATACTCCTGTTTCTTTCCTAGGCTGGCAGATGAAGAAGCCTTTGCTGTATTGTGAATCTGTTGGATTTAATGGAAGGTCTAGCCTGGTTTTAGGCTATTTCACTTGGAGCGAAGAAGTCTGAACAACACAAACGCTATGCGTATCAAAGGGGCCTAAGTGAAGCTCGCGTAACCCAAGGGACCGTTATGCAGGGAGCCAACGGCTTTGGCCTTTTTTTTTTTTTTTTTTTTTAAAAAAAATCACATTGCCAGTTTGAAATCTGAACAAATAACCTCGTGCTGCAGGGACAGCAGGGTACAAACCTGGAGCTCCCCTCCGGCATGGTCCCACTCAGAGCGGAGATGCAGCTGGGAGCCAGTGGCTGCTCCCCCTCCCTCCTTGGGGAAGCCTCAGCCCATGCATTTGCCTACAGGAGCAGCAAAGCCAACGTGTGACCATGCTGGTGAGGTGCACTCCCAGTCTGGACGGACACTCACCCCCATGTATCCACTCTGTGAGCTGGGGACATGGCGGGGGCATGGGAGCAAACTGCCGGTCATTTAGTTTCTCAGCCAAAGACCAGCAGAGAAGCATGAAGCCAGCACAGAAACAGGCCTCAGCAGATTTTTATTCTGAGGGGCCAGATTTGCACTGGAGCATCTACAGGCCGGTGAAAGCAATGGCCCTTGCTGGCTGGGCTCTGCCAGGTCATCATCTTGCAAACCAGATAGGTGCCAGCTTGCAGGAAGGAAGCCCCTGGAGCATAGCCTGTGATCCTGCAGCTGGGAATAGATACAACATTTGATAACAATGTTGATTGCAATATTTTTGAGGTTGTAATTACAGGGTTGATGGAAAGCCATCGAGCAAACGCCGTTTGTGATGGTGGTGAACTATGCACTAATAGATCCACTTCTGACACCTCCCATCAGTCTCTTTGGCTCTTCTGCCCTTGGTGCTCCTATGATCCGCAAAGTGTCATAGTCCTCCTTCAAATCCTCTTTGCCCTGGCAGATGCATACCAGTGGGTGGCTGGCAGTGCTGAGTGCTCATCTCTCTGACCAGCCTTGCCTCGTTCTTCCCTTGTCTGGTCATCTCTGTGAGAACCCACCCGAATATTGGTCGAGAGAGCATGTGTGGCCCCAAGACCGTGATTCACCAGCTTAGATCAACCCAGATGTATTGATGAGGTGACTGATGGCATTAATTTAAATATTACAAATGTGACTATTAACTTGCATGCAAATTAGGACCGACTGGAACAGTAAGAGGGCTTTTCTGCTCTATTTCTGTGCAGCAGCTAGCCCAGGGGGATCCTAGTCCAAGACAAGTGGTCTACTATGGACCACCTGCACCACTAAAACAACACCCTGATTGTGATTCAAGTCTATCTCTTGTTCAGCCAAGCTGAAATGGCCAATGTTTTGCAGTGAAACAATCCCATTGTGAGCAATGCTAAGGCTATTGTTGTGGGCAGATCCATCGGTCATGGCATAGATATCACTCTCCCAGCAGCTGAAGCAGAGGAGCCCCAGTTCTGCTATGCCTTTCTCTACAACTTAGCTCCCTGTAAAGCAAAAAGCAAGAAGATACCAGGGTGCTTTGGAAATGGAGAACTTTAAGAGGAATCACTGCTAGACGGTCTCACTCTCGCCAGCCTCCCTCTCTCCCAGCAGTCTTGCCCCCACCTCTTTGAGATCCTCTGGCTCTGCGCAGGATAAATAGCGACTGTGAAATCCTTACAAAGGAAGGAGAACTAATGGGATATTGCTATTTCTGGAGCTGCCCATTAGAGAAGCTGTTCTGTGGTACGCAGTATGCCAGTGCACTTCAAAAAAATAAATAGGAACAAGAATTATTAGCAGAGGAAGCATATGTGGCCCCAAGACCATGACTCATCGGGTTAAATCGACCAGCTGAGGTCAGTGGTTCTATTTATCAGCTTTTAGTTGCAAATATGGCTATGGGGGCAGCGATTCTATTACTTAAATTTTACATGCTGTGTATAATATGGCAGTGATTAATGCTCTGTAACTAAGGGAGCTAGCTAGATAGATATGCTGTTTTTAGAATTTGGAAGCTATTTCAAGGGCAAGGGGTTTAGTTTTCCTCCCGAAGTGGGCTTTCGGCTGATAAAAACGAACTTCCTGTAGATTTCAGGGCGCATATTTATAGGCAATAAAAATATTTTGTGCTCTCATCAGCATCTACAAACAGAGCCCAACAGCAGCTTGATGAGAAAAGCCCAGCTAATTGCACTTTCACTGTCACATGTGCATCCTGGGACCATGGAAGCATTGACAGGGCTGCCCCTAAGCTGATGCCAAACCTGAAGCCGTTTTGACAAGTAAGGAGAAATGACCCAATAATGCATTTGTTTCAGTTAGAAGCAAGGTGTCCCAAATTTTGATACAAAAAGTCATCCTCTTCAGCCAGTCTGGACGCTAGCACATGTGTTCATGCCTTTAGGGTGCAGGGGCTTGGGTTAGATAGTGCAGGTGGGGGAAGCAGTGGCAGCAGCTTTGCTCCTGGACTGTTGCATCAGTCTGAGCTCAGGCTCAGACAAACAGATGGTGGGAAACCATCTATTTGAGGAAGATCCACTTATGTTGCCAGGACAATGCATGCAAAGCATTATAATAGACACCAATAATTTTAGGTCCCTGCTGTTTTATATGCCAGTCGCTACCATTTTATCAACATTTTCACTGACTGCGAAATTATTCCATTCTGTTTCTATTGTCAATTAGGAACTGCAGGCAGTGCTGATGGGAGGAGAGGGTCCCTCTCCACCTGAGTAGCACCCAGAAGCCTGTAAACATGCACTCATATGGGTATGATGCATTCATATGGGAAGAGAGACCTGTCTCTCCTAAAAGAGCTTACACCAGGAAACCAACGGGACATCAACAGGACAAGCCCAGCGCAAGAGAATAGCTGAGTTATCTCTGGTTTTTTTCCCCTCTATTTCCCAGCAGAGAAGCAGAGGTAAGGAGAAACCGAGTGACTCACCGACCATCCCACAGGGAGCCTGCAGCGTAACACGGTGCCAAGCCCAGTTCCCATCCCACCCCGGCCGTCCCTCGTCCCGCCGCCGCGCAGGTAAACGGGGGCTCAGCAAATCTGGCTGGAGAAAGCCAGACTCTGCTTGAGCGCAGGAGCTGACTACAGAAGCCAACAAAGCCAGCAGAGCCCAGACCAACCCGTACAGCGTGATCCCATCTCAGTCCGCTCAGCAAGATTAGCGTGTTAGCTATCCCCTCCGGGGGCTCAGGATGGGGCTCACCACCTCCTTCACCCCTTTCCCAGCCAGCCCCCTCCGTACCGAATTCCCACAACCAGACCCACCGGGGAGGTGATTTCCAGTCTCTCCTCGCTCCTCAGCCTTACTCACCTGCAGTGACCCACCTGCAGGCACCTAGCAGACAGGCCCGGCCCCTAAAATACATAAAACTTGCTCGAGGAGCCCTGTAGGCCTGGTGTAATTACAGACAAACTGCTGCACAGGTTTGGGCTGTGCTGTGATTACCAGGAACACAGGTTACACCTCCTGTCAAGCTATTTAGATTACAGCTCCGCTCCACTTTGCAGTGATCTCTGCAGCTGCATCCATCTTTTAGCAATATCAGCTGGTCACTGCACAGGATTTTGTTTAGTTTTACCTACCCTCCAGGTGTATTTTTTTTAAGCAGGCTTGTATATGAGATATTTTTGGCTAGATTTTCTCCTCTAAAGCTGTCACTAGACACCGCTTCCCAGGTTCACGCTCATGAATTCCATTATTTTCAATTGAAATTGCATGTATCGCAGGTCCCTGGAGCATCGAGGGGAGCGATTTACCTGCTAATGTCAGTGTAATAATTTTGTGCTTAGGTTTGGAGGCATCCTCTGCGGCCGTTTCCCCACTAAGTGCTTGGCCTCTTGAATATTTCATGGCTACGACATCTATGACTAAGGCATCCAGAAATTTTTTTTTTTTTTAATACAGGTTAGCTTCTCTTTTATTTGATTTGCGTGGGTGTTATTTCACTCAACTATGCAGTGTCTTGTGACCCACTTACAGGCTGAAACAGGTTCCAGTGAACTTTCATGTCTTTATATTCAGGTTGCTCTTAATGTTTTAAAAAAAAAAAGTCTGAGGCAACTGTATCCCTGAGTTTTAAATCTAGGATTGTTGTTCAATCTAAGTAGGATTGAAAATATGTTATAGTAATTTAATTCATGATTCTTATGAGCTACCTGGGCCTTAGCGGGGTCTAAACAGGGCCCAGGGGGCTGGACTTACCTAGAAAGACAGGAAGGACTGGGGCCATCATGAGCTTTCCTTAGCCCTTGTGAAAGCCCGAGTTTTACATCCAACCAGGTTGGAAAATCTCCCCTGGGGCTGGCTCCTGATGTGCACCCAGAGTGAAGCTGCTGCAGAAGATTGGCAGTCCCTTGCCCACCCCAAAACCCCCTGGGCTGAGGGCCCTTTGGAAGAAGTTGCAGAGAAAAGCAAAAGAAAAACCACTCCTATCCCAGCACAGAGGTGTCCTTGTGGGGAGCTCCAACAGTGGCTGGCACTGTATTTTACTGGGATAATTGTGCCAGTATAGCATGTCTGCTCTTCTGTACTGACATGCCATTAAGGAGTTTAAGCTGTTCAGTTTGTTTTTGAAAAGGTTGTGAGGCGACTTAATTACAACATAAATGCATCTTCTCAGGGAAAACATCACAGCATAATGGCTGGGAGTTTCAGTCAGAATACCAAACACAAGAAATGTAGGACAATTACACAGCATCAACACCAAGTTAACCCTGTTCAGATACAACTACCAAAGCATGAAACAAAAGAAGTGAAAGGTTCCCAGTCTCTTCTTGGCCTCACATCAGTGTCTTATAAATGGAAGTATCAAGGCACACAGTGCCTTTATTCCCTGTGGGGATCCCTCTTACTGCACTGTCTATTTGTTCCTCTCCAGTTTACACCATGGTTTCCAGCATAGGTTCTTAGCATCTCTCCTATCTCTCTCTCATATAGGGATGTCTTACTGGAAAAACTTGATTTAGCCAAAACCTGGGACGCACACAGTGGGAAACAGATATAGCCTTCGGTCAGGAGACTGGACGGGATTTACTAGCAGCCTCTCTTCATCTTCAAAGTCACCTTCGTTAACAGCCACTTTACAAGCTTTTACAGCTTTAAGGAGAAACTCAGTTATCTCAGTACAAGGCAAGTGAAGAAGATGTAGAAATACAAAGAAATATCCCAACAACTTTCCACAACCTGGAATATTTGACTTGCATGTTACACTGTTCATTTTAGCCTTTCTTTTTTTTTCTTTTTTAAAAGAGGAGGTCACACATGAAAGCTAACAAGGAAGCAAAGTCACTTGCTTAGAGAAAACACAGATGAGAGGCTAAGATTTGTCTCTTCAGTCTTAAACATAAGGAGCATGAAAAGAGGGTGTATCTTATCTAAAACTTAAGTAAAAAGACCAGCTTATGCATTAGAAAACTCAGCAACCTAGAAGCTAAGCCCTTATTGAAGAATGTGCCTAGCCTATCCTGTGATAAAAGCCAGCTAGCTATAGGAGAACTCATATCCACATGAACAGAGGCAGTAAAAGCACAAGGACCTGACTTGCAAAGGCAGCAAGCACTTGCAAAGCCATTAGCTCCTCAGAGTGCTGTGGTCCATCTGCACTTACCACCCCATCCCCTTCTCAACTGCTCTAACATGCCCAGAAACTTTAGGCTGCAGGAGCTCCTCCAGTTTCTAGTAGCAGCTGTAAATCATGATTTACACCAACAAGTCACACCTGCTTTAAAGCTTTCCCTTTCTTTTTCCAAAGGTTTTTACGGTCTTCAGAAAGGTTGCTTCACCACACCTGTGACTCAAAGCAGACAACGTGTAAGACTGAAAGTGGTTTGTGATTCCCAAAGAAATCCCAAGAAACACCTACATGCTTTTTAATTACATACCTAGGTAGGTACTTAAGTAAATTAAAAAACAATTACCACAAATTGTGATATGATTCAACACTTTAGGAGGAAACTGAGATTGCAGCTGGGTTTGCTTTTTGACTCCTTGTTTGCTGATTCTCTATAAATGACTCCAGTTAATGTTTCTTCTTCTGTCAGAGAACTGAAAGGCAGTGATCCTGCAGCTGCTCCAGCCGTTCAGTTTGGGAGTGATGTTAACCTTGTTATCTTCCAGAGGGAGGTCAGATGGAGGTGGCAATTTGTCAGTGGTCTTAAATAAGGTTGAAATGAAAAATGAGAGATGCTAAGAACCTGTGCTGAAAAGCATGGTGTAAATCAGAGAGGAACAAATAGACAGTGCTGTAAGAGAGATCCCCACAGGGAATAAAAGTTCATGCTGCACCACTGTGTGCCTTGATACTTCCATTTATATAAGACACTGATGTGAGGCCAAGAAGAGACTGGGAACCTTTCACTTCTTTTGTTTCATGCTTTGGTAGTTGTATCTGAACAGGGTTAACTTGGTGTTGATGCTGTGTAATTGTCCTACATTTCTCGTGTTTGGTATTCTGACTGAAACTTCAGCTTCTCTGAGTAGTCCCCACCCTGGTACTTTCCCTCTGCTGGCTGCCCCTCTCCATCCCAAATTATCGGGGGACACACAGAGGTCGAGGAGCAGGCTTTCCTGGGAAAGCTGAGGCAAAGAAGAGTCCTTCAGTCTTTTCCATATTTTCTGTCACTTGGTTGTCTCCTGTGTTTGTTGACAGCCCCATTGTATTCACTAGAGGCTGCCTCATGTGGAAACAGAATAGGTGCAGTTTTCTTGCAATCGTTCCAGACCTCCAGGGCTGAGTGCAGGAAGCCACATTTAGGCCTACAGGCGTGGGGCTCCCAGCATTTGGAGAGGAGACAAGCTTGGAAGGAAAGGAGCTTCAAGGACAGCCTTGACAGTTGGCTGCGCATCTGAAATCTTCAAGAGGCAAACGTGGAAGCTCTGAGTAGCTGAGGGAGAGAGATGTTGGGGGAGCTGGGACTCATCTGACTGTGTGACAAAAGGGCTGAGTACCAGACTCGAACCCCATTCATTACTGTAACCCCACAGGGTGAACTCCCATGTTTCTGAACTCTTTCTGTGCAGCCGATAAACATAACCTGAAAGACATGCTAAGAGCAGGATAGTCGCTAACCTGCTCATAACTTTAGTTATCTTTTAAGCAATTGTCTTCCAAAGATGCACTGCAATTATGGCTCAAATAATGGTTGCCTCTCCCCTTCACTGCACAGAGTAAATGAAAATGTGCCAGACATTTCTGCTGTTCATGGCTCACAAATCCTTAACCCTTGCGTTGACTGCCAGCCATATGTGATGTTGGCAGCATGCGCTTTCCATTCTCTATAGAGGAAGGAAAAAAAAAAGGATACTGTTGTATGATCAAAAGTAGACTTTGCTTTCTCTTTAAGAAAAATGCAAGAAGCGAGTTTAAATACTTACTTATAAATGCTGTGTGCATATTCCTCTGTACGTCAATGCTGCTTGTGCAAAAGGGATTCTGCATGTCTTTGGCTGAATGGCTCAGATTTTGCTATATTAAAATGTGTGTAAATCTTGAGCTGGATCTCAGAAGGAAGCTATCAATAGCTAGTGCCTAACATCTGGCAACATATTTGCAGAAAGTAATTTAGTAATTCAGTGAATTCTGCTCCATTTCCTGTTTGCAGCACATCCAATAAAACAGACCTCAGCTGTTACTCCAAATATGTGTACAATTCCATTTTATTTCAGTTCTGTTTTATTTGTACACGTTCCTGGTTATGGAAGGTCACAGACACTCCCCTCTTTTAGGTACAACTGTCCACCCCTATTACGTGGTATTTTCATGACTGACTGAAACCTTTGTGAAGAGCTGACTATGCACACAGGCATGAACACAGACCCAGGCACATCTGCAGTGCATTGGTTGCAGGGGGTGGCCGGAAGGAGACCTCTGTACGTACAGCTCTCCGGTTGCTGCTGCCATGCTCAGAGAGTCTCCGCTACCCCACAGGTGTCCCTGGCACACACAGGGCATGTTCACCAGGAGAGAAATCTCCAGGAAAGATGTTCAGCTCCACCACTGGGCTATTAAGGTGCAGAGCCTGCCTGGACAGAGAGCATCGCCCACACCACCTGAGGAGTAGCAAGCCTTCCTAGCCTCTGACCCACTGCCAACTCCACTTTCCCAAGGAGAAAAAAAGAGTAATAAAACATACATCTGTACAAGATCTTTCTGACACGTCATAAGAGTATTGCATAAAATTAACTGCATCAGGAATCTCAGACCTTTACAGGAGAGAAAACCCCCTTGGACCACTTTTTGTTCAGACACCAGTGTGAATTCTCTGCCAAGGGCTCTGCTAACTGCCACAGCTGAGGTGGGTTACTGGGAGACTGTCGCTTGGAGAGATGACCTGGTTTTGCTAATTTTCTTCTGCAGGTCCTCTGAATACAAGGCCTGAGATTTTTAATGGCATGTAGGCGCTGCGTTGCTCTATTTAGCATTGCAAAACTTACATGACCTAGCTCAATCTTATCTTCAGAAGTGACCGAGGTCCTCAGGAGCTTAGAGTCGCAGCAGAATTTTCAAAGCTGGTTGTGACATGATTTGGTTTCATTTGCACAGACAGAAAACAAAGAAAAGCCTATAAAGACTCTCTGTCATTTTATGGACCTGGTAAACGTTTGTAACTCTGCTTTGTGCTGCTGCGTGGAACACGTTCAGCATCTGAAACCAAGCCGCAAGGTAACTGCCTCAAGAAAACTTCCCAGAAGGTGAACTCATTCTAGACAGGTCCACCAATACCTTTCATGGGAAACCCATGGAGAACTGGGTTGAAGAACACCAATCCTGCTGCACAGAGAGCACTTTACAGTAAGCCACCAAAGCCTTCTTGTAACATTTGCCTTCAAGATCAATCTCAGGGAAAAGGAAAAAAACCCACAGACTTGAAGAAGTGTATAAAAGGAAGGGGCAGAGAATGGGAACGCACCATAAATCCTGACAGACTGTGCATTAGATGATGGCAAAGCCTATCCAAGTATATACCAGATGGGAAGGAACTGAGTGATGTATTGGGAATCAAGAAAGTAAAAATGAAAAAGCAAAGCATTTTAGTCTATTTTGCCAGGAAAATAGGGTTTATGTGATCACACTGTAAGTATATCTGTGCCTCTTTCTTTTCCCACTTCTCCCCTTTTAATCAAATGGAAGAAACTTTCCAAATAACTTAAATCTCTACAACTTCAATGAAGTAGATGGCCAAGTAGAGAAGATGCTCTTCAAAGCTGCAGCACAAGCTCAACCCTTTTTTTTTTAACAGAGAACTCAGAAGGAAAATTAATCTTGTATATATATCTCTCACTATAGGAAAAGTTCCAGTGGGAGAGAGCAAGTTCTTAGAGCATTAACACAGGGACGAGATCTACTTACATGAGACTACTGGCAAAATCATTACCCTCAACTGTATGCCCACCCTGCTGCATGGACAACAGCTTAGCTTTCGAAACAAGCAGACAGCAGCTTTGAGATAAATTAGCTTCAATTCCTGTTCATCTTAACAAATCGTGTGTTATAAGCCATAGCAGAAAGCCAGCTGCGGTGGAGTTCTTGATTAGAAAGCAGATTCCTTTAAGTCAATCAACCAGAAAGCCAAAACCTGCAGGATATCAGATTTCAGTTTTTGGTATTGACAAAACTGTTTGTCGAAGAAAGGTTGGTTCCTCAAAGCATCAGCAGAGAATCAGAGAACAGAGGAAGCGAAAGCGAGTCGAGAAGAGGGGAGCTGAGTTGAGCTTGAGCGACTGTAGAAGTGAAGGAAGAAAAAGGTTAGTAACAAAAAAGCAAGAGTGGAAACAGCTGAGGCTGGGAATCCATGCAGATTGTTCATGAGCATGAAAGAGGAAACCACCAAGATGTGAAATAGGGAAAAGAGAAGAAACTGAGAAGACCGGAGTCCAAAGTTGAGAGGAAAAAAAGAAACGATGAATTGTTTGTAAGTACAGAAAGGAAGGGGAAAAAAAACAAAGGCTACTACGCATCATCATTTCCTTCTCTATCCTTTCTGCTTAGGAGCCAGCTTTTCTTCTCACCATTTCTAGAGAAGCTCTTTTGGCTGAGCCAGCAGGCGTTTATTTTCCTGGACTTCTCACAGTGCTTAAGTGTTGCTGCTTTGTAGACCCAAAAAAAACAAGACCCAATGGGAGGGC